TGCAAAAATTTTTTGTCTTTTGATGATTAATTGTCAAGGAACATATAAAAGTGAATTAAACATATTCAAATTATCTAAAACATATACAAGTGGATTCCCATAGACAAACCATTTGAACATGATCGTTATTGGTCACGGTTGTTATTGGTCATGGTCGTTACTGGTCGTGGTCATGACTTGTCCACAAAAGAAAATGTCCACTTGGACATGACCATTTGGACGCGGTCAACCCATTTGACAGCCCTATTCGCTGGTGAATCAGCTTCAGTGATATCGCCGGCAAAGGAAGAGCGAGGGAAATTTGGAAGGACGAGCAGTGTGAGTACTGGAAATTCACCGCAAGAGACGAACTCACTAGTGGAGAACAAAGAGCCAGTATCGGAGCAACAAACGAGAAACTCCGAGAGACTGGGATGGAGGACGGTGGTGGAGATGGGAATAGTGAATCCGGTGGATCCGGTGGCTCTAGAGACTATGGTGGGAGAAGAGAGTTCAGCAGCGTCGCAAGGATCTTCCTCCGACAGTAAGCGAGGAAGTTGAGGAGATCCGTATGGATTGTCGGCGCAGAGGATGAAGGCGGGGAGACAAACATCGGAAAAAGCTCAAACATGTTGTCGGTGAAGGTTGAAGCAGGATCTCACCAGTGAAGAACGAAAGAGCAACACCGATTAGGAAGAGAGCGCTGCAATGTCGCTAGAGGGACACCGGAGGACGAAGCTCACTATGGTCAAGCGGCTACCTCGGATTTTGTAACTACGAAACTTTACATATTGTTATTTCAACCCAACTAAAAAAATTATAAAATAAAATACACAAAAATTTTAGATAACATTCAAAACATTAAAAACATTATGCAAACGCATATTATATTCTTACACGCATATAAGTTTAAACTTGCAATCGTGTATTTTAAAAAATTAACTGGTTACCTCGCATTACTAAGTACTGGAATTACTTATTTGTCTAAAAATTTTCATCTAGTATACTAGAGATTGTCCACGCGTCGCGTGGATTTAAAAATTAATGTGATAAAATATGTAACAATTCTAGCTTATTGATTATTTTTATATTTAATATTACAAAAAAATATTGTTGTACTAAATAATTATCTAGGTTAGAAGATTAAACATTTGGAGCAAATTGTTGGACATATACAAAGTTATATATGAAAAAAATAGATTGTTCATTAATAAAAATTACAACAAATGCATATGGAAAATATCTTCTTTTGCACAAATTCGTAACTTGTATGTCTTTCATTTATCAATATTCACTACGGTTCCCTAAATTTTTTGCATCAAATACGTTCATGAAAAAAACTTTATTGATCAGACAAGCTATATTATCTTGTGCTTTTATCGAGACATTTGCATTATCTCAACAGAGATGTCTTAAATGCATCTTTGTGTTTTATTTCGTTAGAACTTTAAATTGTACGGAAAGAATAATTGATATTTGATTGTAATTTTTTCACTCTTTTTATCACTTTTCTACGATTTTTATCTTTCACATTGATTCACTTGTGAATTATTATGTTTTTTGGGATTCACAATTTGTAGGATAGTAAGTTTTCTTTTGAGAGTATTGGTTATGAGATGATTGACAACTTTAGCATTCTAACAATCTTAAAATTTCAAAAATTACTAATTAATTTTCTCACACCATTGTTTTTGGTTAATGTTACGATTCTTTTTATTAAAGTTTTTTGTGACTTTTTGGTTTATAATCGTAGTTACCTATCTAAAATTTTAAATATTTTTGGATAGTATATTGATGGGTTTAATAAATAAAATATATATTTTTCAACCGTTAAAACTTTACAATAACATATTTAATTTGGAATTATAATTTTTGGTGGATATCAAAGAAAGGAACAAACTAAAATTGGTTATCCTTATGGTACACTTTAATTTTTGGAATTAACTTACATTAAACTTAGCTATTAAATTATAGGGATTAATTGTTAAAATTATTAAAAACATTTATTTTTTTCTTTTCAATAAATAAATCAAAAAGACAAATGTCAAAAAAATTGATGACACGTGGTATTCTCTCGTGATTTGGGTTTCGAAACACCTGAAAATATTATATAAGATATACTATATACAAGGATTACTAGTTAGTGCTCGTGTTTACTGATCATTCACTACACATTCTTCAGCTGTTATGCGTTTTTTGGACCATGTAAATGTAATAAACCTGACAGTTACTTCTGGTAACTAAAAA